AAATGGCTGATTCAATGCATGACCACCACTACAGTTCGACCCTTCGCTGACCATCTTGTCTTGTTAGCGATTTGTGAAAGAACTAGATGAACATAAATATCGAAGAATCGAATGGAAATGATCAACTTCAATCATCATCTCTCCTCAAAATCGATCGATTCATGCCGAAAAATAGAGTCAGAAAATAATCAATGAGTTGATTAACATCATGTTTCAGTTCACAGAAGAAAAACGAACAGGTCATATGAAAAGATGAGAACAGAGAAGAGCTTTTCTGTGATACTTTCTTGTAAATCATTGTGATGCGCGCCGATCACGTTCTAAACATGAAAGAAGAGTCTCCTCAATCCAAGATTTGCCAAAGACATGTCATGTATTTACCTGCTTTTAGTTCTTCAAGATCGATCTGAAGACAAAGACGACTAGCCAAATCCCACCCCATCTGTTTAAATTGATCATCATCGAGTAGATGTCTTTTATACAGTTCTTGTTTTTCTTGTATCGACGAGTCCAAACGATGAATTTCGGCTTCAACAGCAGTGATCTGAAACAAGAACAATTAGAAATCAAACTTCTTACGCACAGAGTGTAGATCTGATTTCCAATGACGAACATATGAACTGCGCACGGAAACGAATAGCTGCACTACTAAGTCTCACGAAACTTGGAGGATCTGAACGTTTAAAGATGTACTGAGAAGTCCATAGCCTAGATAAGACTCACCCGATCGATAGCCATTGTAATATCAGAAGAAAGGCGATGTGCTCGCTAATAAATGATCATTCGTGACCTGACCTTCTCTTACACTCTTCTTTGTATTGAGATGAACCAATCATCTTGTTTCTTGACCAAGACAATAGAGAAGATACATAAGGCTCATCTTCAGACGAAAACGTTAATTCCTTATGAACGACAGAAAGAAAAAGCGCCAATGCTCAATAGGACGTGAATTGTTTGCTTTTTTTCGACGATGAATTCCGTGCAGACGAGCAAAATCAATGTCAAACGAATTCTTACTCGATTTGATCTGAAAAAGTCAAAATGTCGAACTTACAGTTGAGCCTTAGTGATTGAATTCGTTGCCATTAAGAAGTGAATTACTGACAACTCGAAGATGAGTGTGAAGATTTCGACGACTGTACACAAAGAAGACAGATTTAAAGGTACAATTCGTATTAGTCATCATGAGAAAGAACTTTTTTAATTGGTTAGGAATTTTTGTTTCTTTCATATCTCTTGATGTCCTTAATAACACAGCGGTTACGTGTTCGTCTGTTTTCCTTGTTTAGTTGTATAAGTCATTCTAACGAAGAGAAGAACGGTTTTAAATAAACAGCCATGATCAAATTTCTCCACATGCGTCCTCACTATTGAAGAACAGAAAATAGATCATCGCATCTTCGCGCATTATGAACGACAGTGGAACGGTAAAACATAGTCACACTCAACGAAGAATCATCTTCTGATTAATATAGTATACTTCTTTTCTGTCTTACATCAGAGAGCGAATAGATTTGAGTTTTGTCAAAGATGATCCGAAAGGGAGTGTTGAAGTGTTTTTGAATATCAATTCTGATCGATGGAATCGATCTATCGAAAGTCATGGATGAACTTACACAAACTGATTGAGATTGTGATGATCGATCTGGAACATGAAAATCTCTTTCACAATTGAATATCGATACACCAGGATTTGTTCCATCAACGATTAATGGACAAAGATTATTTTATTAAATCATTGATAGAGAATCATCGAGGATTTCTCTTTGTTCTCGTGTTTAGATATTTAACCGGACAAATAACGACAAGAACATCAACGTTTTGAATCAAATATGATTAGAGCAGCAACTCAAGTAGATTTCGTTGTTTGACGATTGGACAGACGAGGGAATTTCCCATCGGATCGTTTTGGACGAATTAACACCGAATTCCAGCTGCGAAGAATAACCATTCTAACGTGATAAATGGAGAGGAAATCTTCTCTTTGAGAAAGATTTACCTTTGCTCTTGGGACAAACCGAAGAACTGAAGAGATTCTTTCTCGAGATATCGAATCCTCCTAAACCAAAATCAACGATTCCATTTGGATCTCTCGTCATGGAAAAAGAAGAAGAAGAGATTGTACAACAACGCATGTTCTGGTGCAAATGGCGACCAATGTCAATTCAACAACAAACGAAGGAACAATGGGCAAATGGATTTCCAAGAGAGTTGCTGCTCATCCAAATGAAAGAAATAATTTCAATCTAACATCAAACCAAAGAGCAACGGGAAGAAATAATGACCCAAGAAGACAAGGTAAAAATCCGCCTTCAACACACCCATTCGAAATCATCAGTGAACAAATATTTTTCTCTCCTTGCAATCGATGAAGCGTCCGTTCGAGTGACGAATTAACCCGACGAAACGACCGAACAAGATTTAAAAGATCCCTTTGTTTCATTTGATCCGGTTAATCGAGTCTTTTTGGGCCAAAGACAAAACCAATAATGCATCGAAAGGTTTCGCTGTCATCACATTTCACGACAACAAAGACGAGACAAAAGAGAAAAGATGCGAATACTTGCAATGAATCTGGATCGATCAAATTTACAAAAGACGAGACATCGTCCATCTTCTTGTTGCTGGCATCAATTGAGAAAATCATTTGTTTGACAAATCTGTTCAGATCAATGTTCATCGAACGAATGATTCAACGGGAGATGAAGAACTTCATATTGATCAGGAAGAATTAACCATGGATGTGTCAAACTGATCCAATGTGTCAGTTGCAAATCATTGAGCAGAGATGGAGTACAGGCATCGACCATCCCAACCAAATAAAGAAAATTCTCAATGGCCATCGTCATCGCACCGATTCGATGCAATTTTTCTTCTTCAACTTCGGCTTCCACTTCGTTTCTTTTGGAATTCGAATAACAAGGATGAGACAGATTTTCTCTTTCTCTTTCTTCTCTTGGGCAAAAAAGGAGATTCACAAGGATCACGAAGAACAGGAAGAATGTGATAATCAATGTCATTTGACAGACTCGTGGAAGAGGAATTGTTCTTGGCAAAGAAACGAAGATTTAACAATGAAAACCAATTGATTGACTGAAATGAAAAATTTTTCGTTAAGTACCGATGAATGTCTCCCTATGTCTGTCGAACTGAAATGCAAAAAGGATTTGATTCTTTGCCGTGATTTCCGCATTCGATTTTGATCACTTTCATCGACAAGTCTTCTTACACACGGAGAAATCTTTTTTATTCTTTCGTCTTGTTCAGCGATGAGTTCGATTCGTACTGTTTGACTAACTTTAACAGCAGAACATTGATCTGAATGATGGAGAGGGCCTGTGAGACGTGGACGATCAGGACATGATGACTGGTTTTGTAAATTGATCAGAAATTGAATGTGAATGCTGCTCAAAGGAGAAGTTGCCGCGGAGTTGATGAAGTTTTTGATCTAAAACAAAAGTCACATTTCAATGACGGAAGATTGCACGTATGATTCTGTGGTTACGTTCGTCTTTAGACTTCTAATTTTATATAAACAAAGAAACAATTGCTCTCCTTTTTTTTGACATAAGGAGAATGTTGATACACTCGCAGAAGTCTCTTATGATGTGTTTTTTTTTCTTACCACAATTGCCACTGCATACCAATCGGCTACGTTCGATCCGTTAATGGAGAATGTACAGTTCGATGTCATTATCGTCCCGTTCGGTAATGACCCAGGGTGGCATACACTTGCACACTCTTCTGAATCATTGGCAAAACGACATCGTACTTGATCATTATCGGCATCAATCGTTGGTATGATAAAAGTCTGTGGAATACCTAC